CAGATTTATGTTCATATTAAACCGATACTAATAACAAAACAAAATCTAGTCGAGCGGTCATGGGTGTTAAAATTAACACTTTAATCATAATCAAAAGTCAACGTGACATTGCAATGTCAAAGCCATGTTAAATCAATATCCCCAATTATAAATCTCGTGGTTATATATATGACTGCCTTAAATACATCATGACAATATTAAGCATATAAAATGAATTATAAGTATGGATCCACACCTAGATAATAAATCGAAATTATGATTGTCACGATTTTATATTAGTTAGATTATCAAAACAACTGTTTGTACATAAGGTTAGTATATATAAATACTTTATATAAATTAATAATAATAGCTTGGCCTGCTAATAAGAAACTATCACATTTTTGGACTGAAAATGCATGATTTATGAATATTTACATCTGAATATTGCTAGCAGTAAGTTATATATTTCTTTCAAACTTACCATTTCAATTTCATTTGTTTTATAAATTCAATTTTTTAAAGTAATCAATTATTTATTATTTAACGAAGTGATTTAGATCAATCTACTTTCGATAACCTATACTGCATGAAGATCTGACCAGTTGTAGTGAGGGTCGTGTTTTGGGTTTATGCGAGCGGCTTTTGACCCAATGACGTCAGGCATTTGATTAACCAATCAGTGTTGATGTTTCTAGCTGGATACTCATGGTTCCGTGCATCGCAAACCAAGAACTCGCTGCAACAGACTGTTTCATTGGCTAATCCATCACAGCAGCCAGAACATGAGTTATTTAACAACTCTTCCAGATCCTAGTGTAGTAAAGACAAGTAAAACGAAATTTTGAACACCAGTTTGAAGTTGATCAATGATGAATATTTATACCTAAATTATTTATGTACCTTTATAAAATGTTATAACTTAACATGATTAATAATTATTTTATTTAAACCAATATTTTTATTCTCTTGCCAAAGACATCCTTCTGGTAAACTCATCTTAATGGTTTTGTTTCGGTTTACCCTTTCCATTGGCATGCTTGGCTTAACACATTAATAAAAACGGCCAGTATATACTTATTTTTATATAATTTTTCATTTGTTATATTTATCTCATTCTACATTTTGCGATAAAAAGAAATAAAATAAAAACATTCCCTAGAGAGTTTTAATTTAAATAAACTACACTGACACCAGTACAGAACCATGTATTATCCCAATGGCAAATGCTGTTCTGAAGACTTTGGTAGATGTATTTCTGTAATAAAAACTGGATATTTGTGGTGATATGTTGAGACTCTATAAGGTCCTTGTAGTCTAAGTTAATTAAACCCACATCCACATATTCTGAATAAAGAAATGAAGGGATTTAATATAATACAATATGTATAGAATCTCGATTGTCACGTCATAACTATAAAGCTATGATCGCAAGAAACTGAGTAGCAACGAAACTCGTTCTCGTTCAAGAACTGTTTGCGATGATTCGATAACATTGATTCAAAACGTTACGGCATACCTATCGGCAGGATTGAGGTCATCCGCGGAACTTATACATCTGTAATCGGTCCACAGGTAAGCACTGTAAGAATTCAATTTCATATTGAACGATTTTAAATATCTTACGTAAAATATAGTAAAATTTTAAAGTTTGCTTCGAGTCATGATCATAGATCAATTTATGAAAGTATGAAACACATATGAACGTTGTAAAAGGCAAAACACATAAAACAATTCGTTATTATCTTATGCTCCTTTTCTAAGCTACTCGTGGTAAATACGTAAATTCACCAGTCTCGTCACATTCATAAAACCAGGTGATACATTTTTTCCGAAAATAGTTATTATGTCAAATTAACATCACGTTGTTGAAACAATACGTGATAAAGAAGTCACAATAAATCATTTAATATATAACTGTCCACTCACGGTCACTTAACCTTTAACTGTATGATTGTTATATACTTGACCCACAGATCATATCAATAGAAACCGCTGGGGTTGTGGTCATTTATTCAAAGACCCGATAACATTATAATAGGATTTATTTGCTGATTTTGAAGATATTTACATATAAACATAGGACAAATATTTCCAGTAAAAGGTAACGTATGCTTATATGATATGTATTTTAAAGGCTGTTATGTGTGTTTCTATTTCTGGTTTAGTTTATGTTTATAGGTTAGGGGTGGGGTGGGTGTTTTTGTTTTGTTTTTGGTTCTTTTTTTGGCATTATTTCCACCAAATGTTGGTAAAAACATTACATAATTCTGAGGTTGTATATAAGATGTTTATATTATGTTATCTCGTATGGTCAAGGATTAGAATTGTTTATAAATACGCTTTAGAAGTTTAGAATTGAAAATACTTTGAAACAAAGCGATGAAATTACAGATATCCATAAGATACAAATATAACTTTTTTTGTGCCTCATAATAAGTTGCATAAAAGTGCTGAAAGCGGAGGTAGGGAGTGTTTAATGTCTTTGTTGAAAGACCACAAGGAATTCCTATGAGTATACTAAATCTATACACAATGCTTGCCCTCCCACCATCATGCGACAAACCACCATCCCTCTCTCTCTCTCTCTCTCTCTCTCTCTCTCTCTCGGTGTGGGCTTTTGTAAAACAACGTATGTTATCAACTTAGTAAGACGTGGAATTGATATATTTATGCCGGATCAACTGTTATATATCCGTATCTTAAGGAATATACTTATATATAATTTGGGCGTGTTCTGTAATTTAATGACTTTGTTTTAGGAATTATTTAATTAGCAAATTGTTATCTATATTACGATAAGTTTCGTGTTGTCTAGCATGATAATACAGGATGAGAAATTCCACACGTACATTTAGTATGTTAACATTCAGATATTTTTCTGTATATATATATAGCTGACAGATTCGGGTAAAATTCATTCATCAAAATGAACAATATTACATCTAAAACAGAACCTTGCCGAACCCCTACTTCAAAAAGAAAGCCAATAACGTCAAATTTTACTACCGTTTCCAGAACGTCTAATTCTCCGCGGATTTGGGATTGTGTATTAATAATTTGATTTATCGGGTTCTGTTTACTAAGTCTTTATTCAAGTAGTAAATGGTTTTATCCATTTATATATCCTTTTTCCAAAGGCGCCATTTACAGCTTTCATCTCTATTCAATGAGGTGAAATGAAGAAGCACCACAATGTATATATTTTGTATAAAGGTTTCATTACATTTAATACTTTTAATTGCTTGACACATCTTCACAGAATTTGACCGGTAAAGCTTTAAAATTCAATATACATACATATCTTCCCCGATATTATTTTATTTAATTTAGTTTCGGCCTTAATCATGTAATAGTTTTCTTACAAAACCATCGAGTGTTTGAAACAACATTGCAATAACTTGTAATAATATGTGAAAATTATATTATAAAGCAATGGAAGAGATAGTGCTTTATAATTTCTACAATTTGATATATTATTACACCATTTTTATTCCATTTAGTGTGGGCAAATAAATAGGGTATTCTTCTGAACCAATTCCAACTGCCAAAAATCCTTCTTCTTGAACGTTAACGTGTACACGGGATCTCGGGTTTTCGTTCACGTGAACGTACTTTATTCGTAATTTACTGTGTACCGCAGTATTTAATATATTATTACTGCATTTTATTGTACATTGTATGAAGTCGTCATGGGATGTTTTGATGCAATACATAAAATATGCCCCAACTAATATATAGTGTGCCTGGTGCATTGTACATAATATTTTAAAATATATATAATCAACCGAATTCTATTGTATTAGGTATCGTGTTCCATTTAGGCCTCTTTACGCGTCGACTTTGAAAAGGTAGTGCAAGGGTCAGCATAGCATCTATCTCATATACGGATGTGTGTTTGTTGTTTGTGATTTATACAATTGTATGCTGCTCCCTGTGGGCGGTTTTATGCAATGACATTTATCTTACCTTATCTTATTATGTTAGACCGTGTTTGACAGAGAAAACACGTATCTTTTTCTTTTCAGTCAAATATGAAATAAAAATGAAATGCAATGGGGTTTAACGTCCAACTTTTCTGTACCGACTGGGCTAATGAAAAAGGGCATATGCCATGTATGATGCAGTGTGCTATGGGGAAAATTTAGTCTGGACGGCGACGCTAGGGTCTACTCTTATATCGAATTCCAACTGCCAAGGGATCTTTTACGTGCACGCTAATGTGTACACGGGACATGGGTTTTCATTTCATCCGAACGACTAAACGTTGCCCTATGCAGACCCGTCCTACACCACTGACGAGGGTGAACCAACCGGAAAATAAAGATCCCGGGTCCGCCAGGTTAACGAGTCAACATCTTACTCGCTGAGTCATAGCGACTTCATGAAACTCAAACCCAGGTCCTACAAAATACATTAATGTAAATGTATCAACTTAACTTCAAGGTGACAAATTATACCCGATACTACGTGAAACGTCTTGAATGTTAAGAATGCCGGATTTCAATACTATCTATTTATAACGACCGAAAGTTATATGTTTATACTGTATTAAACACCACAAGAACGAAGAAATGTGGGTATCAGAAATTGTTGATTTTTCTTCTTAATTCACAGTAAAATGTCCATAATGCAAGTAAAACATAAGTTCTTTCAAATAGGTTTTACGTATGAAATTATTCGCGGGAAAATAAGGTCCTGCGTGTACCCCCTATCCCCTTTATTGAATGCACGGTAGCCATATATGCACATAAAGCAGAAAGAGTTTGCACACAATGGACCTGGTTGTAACAAGCAGAAGAGAAATATATATACAAATTAAGTCGTCACAATATAAACCAGTTTATAAACATATATTTAGACAAGAAGGGCAAGGCGGACTTTTATTCTCATTAAAGGACACGATGACAATGTATACAGGTTGTGTCGTGTATTTGTACCGTTCCCAATATAACAAGTTCAAATTGTTATTCACATTCAGTTAACCATATTATACGAGTTTAGCTTCAATGCACCATTCATGACGAGTATATACTGTTAGAATGGTCTATATATCGATCTTCTCTCGGCTTAAATATTAAGTCGATGAGATAGTTTCAACGCCACATGTGACACAAAATCTAAACAAATGTGGAAGTTGGTATTTTGAGTGTCTCGTTAAATCGGTCTTCAAAGATAATTGCGTGGATTATGGGAGTAAATTAGGCCAGATGACCTCTGACATGACATGCCGTTTTGCATCGTATGATATACAAAACAGGTTAATGTTTTATATGTGAACTTGTGTCGCTGGCTTTGGGGTTTTATAGAGAGGGACGTATATCTGTTAAAGTGGACCTAAAGGCCTGGACACGATGGTTGAAATTGGAATGCCGATGTTAGCTCTGGATCAGACATGGAGTCAAAGAAGAGCTTTCCATTCTCGGATACATACCCCGGTAAGTGTAATGTAATTGTACTGAATCGACCGCTTTGTGTATGTGTCAAAGTGGCGTGGATACGCCTTCGGCTGATGCTGATGACCTATATATGTGTATATAACAGGTTCATTATATCGCTGATGTTATCTATATAATAATATACGTATATGTATCTATATGCGGCTTTTGTTCTAGTGTATTTACATATCGATAAGGAATAGAAATACATATCGCTTGGTCTATTATTTATTCAGCAACATGCAAATCCTATAATTAATAAAGAAGATAAACAAAAGATTGTATGAATTATACACATTAGATTTCCGAGACTGCAACAAAATGACCCCTTACTGAAAGTACAACGGGTGGGTGGAAGAATCAACGGGAACAATGGAGACAAGCTTGAATCTCAGTGATACAGTTTTGGATGAAAAAGGAATAGATACCTGAAATAATGCAATCAATGGAAAGTCGGGGGGGGGGGGGTTATTATGCTCATAGGTTATGCAAATGTGACATTCATTCATACGTAGCGGTAGTAAAGAATACCCCCAAATTGTTTATGAATACCATTAATATGAATTCGTAGTTCGCTGAACGTATTGTCAAAAAAAAATAATGCAAGCAATGCCCATTTCGTCCACTGGATTCATTTAAAGGAAGTTTTATATTTGATTATTCGATAGTTGTACGTGAAACTAATTGACCCTAGTCTAGATCAAACATTGACACTTGCATTGGTCTAAATATATGTATTCATAAATTTGTATATTAAAATGCATTAACTATGTATGTTCAATATTGACTGGGTACGACAGAATCAAATATAGGATATAAGCGCTATATAAATAGATCAATAAAGAATTGTGATAGTAATTCAATTAAGTTACCTCATACATGGCTTTAATACAATCACAATAGTGTGTGTTTACTATATAATATTATATATCATTCATAATTACATTCTACGTTTAATAATTATATGTTATCAATATACTTAATCAAACAAGAAATATCTTAATCATAATGGGTATCGTTCATCTAATGTCATATGTTATAGTCTGATGACACAACAGATAATTCTAATGCAACTAAAAACTTCTGGGTTTTCTCAAAATCTGATTATGATCGGATACAATTATATTTTCTGGGCAGGTTCATTTGTTGTTCTTTGCAAGTTTAGGATTTTTCACCTTTGATAGAACTACGAAAATTAAGAACAGTATCGTTTTTCAGAAAGGCTCTTGGGAAAGCTAGTAAACATGATTTTGCCTATAAATAACTCCACCCCATCCCTATCGCCACTCCTGACTAGAATTAAGGCACTAACCAATAGTGTAAGAAAAGCAAGGTCTCATCAACGCTTATGGTTACCTGTACATGTCGATGTTTTGTCTGGCAGTGTCACATCGGCCTTGCTAATATGGATACGCTGGTTATTAGTAACTATATTCTAGCTTAAATGGTATGGTTCAGTGACAGTGTGTGGTCCCCCAGGCTAAACGACTAACACCTGTGAAGTAAGGTTTAAAGTCACCTTTACGGACTAATGGTATTTATTTAAAAAGATTTAGTAAAATAAATTTCACACTTTATTTTATTAGATACCATGGCGAGTTACACATAAACCATCTACTAATTGATGTTATTGTTAGAAAAAAAACACACTATAGCCGTGACATTTTTTGTGGGATGACGATCTGTCATCGGTCAAAATGGCATGTCCTGAGAGAAAGTCAAGGATGAGTTATATCGAAAGTGTGTTCTTTTCTCGAAAGAGAAGCTAACATTGAAACGACAATTATTAACAAACCAACTCCCACTTAATATTTAGAAACATAATTTTAATCTATTTTAAGTAAGGTTATTGAACACATTTATATGAAAAGTTAATGTTATTGTGCTAAAAGAGATCACTGATGGAAACAATACATCAATTTCGTGCTGTTTAAGACAGTGTATATTTGGATGCTCACGATACATTATCATTTCTATAGTCATAAATGACTATAAAGACCATTAAAATATGTTTGTTGTTAGATAAAAACTGGAGTCATGATAGATATAAAAACGGTACTGAAATACATTTTTGTCCTTTTTTTCGTTATTAGAGCAGAAAGTAAGCTCTACTGCGCACTATATCTATATACATCTAGATGACTTTAACAAATACCTCAACCATAGAAATATTTTATTAAAATTAGCGGCAGTAAAGTGTTGACGTGTATTTTATATTCCATAAAAAGGTAGGCTATGTAGTTAATTTCTGTTAAAAACTATAAGCGAAAACTAATGCTGTCATCTTCTTCTAGTTAATTTTTACAAAACGAACATTTAGAAATATCGGTTTGTAAAATGCAAAGCTGTATATAAATCATTGGAGTTTAATCATTAATAATTGCTCCATCAAAATTATATGGTTTGTATCCTGTGTATGGTATGTTTGTATCTGAGGACAGATATAATCTAATTTCAGTAAAAGGTTGAGATATTTAAATTTATGATATAGTTTAATACTGTAAGTGGGGGTTTCCTTGTCAAATGTATTGCGCGCGTTTGTTTCCTGCTTATGCCAGTATATGAAGTTGGGCTAAATCATTTCTATTTTAAGTATTGTCAAAAAATACTTTGTGAAAAATGTAGCACAATATTTAGAAATTTGTCAATGTCATCTAATGTGTTTGGGGTTTATTTTTAAAATGATGCAGGCCTACTTGTGTAATAAGAACAAGTTAGGAATGACACAAAAAATTATCAGGGCCCTTTGTGCGTGGTGTTTCTGACTAATTTCCTATTGTCACGTGCTTGTGAAAGATAATGACAATTTAGAAATTAGGAAGATTGGCGCTGGAAAGGTTGAATTAAATAATTCAATATGAATTTTATAAAGACTCGAATTAGTCAGCAGGTAAGAAAGCTTTAGTGTTAGCCACGATTTTATAGTCATGTTGACTCGTGGTTGTACTAGTAATAGTGAAAGGCATATTAAGAGTATAGGCCTAATAGATGGTTGCATTTTCATAATAGTTGATTGTTAAGCTACGAACATTCATTATTCTTTTAAGTTTGGGTAATATAATTTATATATAATGTTACATTCCAGTACACATAAATTAAATATAAAGTTTTTAATGACTCATTAACCAAGTAAGAAAATAATATAATTTGTTGTACTTTCAATTAGTACATACAGTACTAGTGCATCGTGTTTGTTTTTTAAAAAAAGGATTTATTCCATAGCGTTATATTTATTTTTAATTCAACCATTGTCGCATTATTATTTTTTTTCACAAACCTTATGGATGTCTTCCCTTGTATTTAGGCTATGAATTGCCCCATAAACCGATTAGATCTAAATCAATTTCTTCCTTATATTACCATTGAGATTTCATTTAAACACTCAAGTCATGACGAATCCTAGAATTATAAAATGTGTGGTAAATACAGGGGCGGATCCAGGAAGTTTTGCAGAAGGGGGGTTTGCCAGGTTCTTGTTAAGGAAATTTGACAGTTGACAATGCATGGTGCCATCTTCGTCTCCAAATTACGTAGACATACATACACACTGAGCTTTTTAAAGAGAGAAATCCAACACCCCGTTTGAAGTCAATTTTTATTATGAATTAATAGATCACATTGTGATTCAAATTCATTGATGCAAAGCATTATTTGTGATATACCGTTTCGAGCTTATCGTGTTGCGATTGTCTTCCTTCTTGGTCTTTTTCGTCAAAGCATACCCGAGCTAGTACAACACCGTAAACGCTTACTACCAGCCCTCGGACATGCTATAAAACCCAGAAGAATCCAAACTAGAACAGGATCCTCATTTGAGAATAAAGATATTTAAGCTATTACACGTCTAATGTAGATATAAAAAGATTTTTATTAAAGTAAGTTTTATCCTTGTATAACCACACACACTGTAGTACAAAATATTGAAAGTGGTTACTTCCGAAAATGTGACAATGCCAGGAAGAGATTTATCTAAATTATCATATCACATGTATTTCAGAAACCAACGGGCATGGACAGGAAGTTTGTAGATGAAGTCATAGCTGCGCATAATGCATATCGTTCTTGCCATCAGGCGGGACCGTTATCTCAGTCACGAGAGTTATCACTAACTGCACAGAAATGGGCGGATCAATTAGCGTCAACCAATTCCTTCCAACATAGCAACAGTAGTCATAGAGGACAACCGCTTGGTGAAAACATTGCCATGAAATGGTCTTCCAGGCCTGATGCCTATACCGGTAAATATAATGTTTAAAGGATATGTAACCTCAAACTATTATTACATATTATCCACTAGGCCCACAATAAAGTAAACTAGTTAATTATTACAGATCGTAAATCACAAAACCTGACGTTGCAACTACTATATTTCGTCAGCGTTCATCCATTCATCATCTTGTACGTGTATAATATAATGGCTGTTACTCTGAAATTTGTAGATTGCCAAAAACTTTTTGTTTGAAGAATCGCGATGGTTTTGGTAATAAATCTTTTTATTTGTGGTAGTTTGGATATGATTTCCAATCGATGGTTCTATATTTTTTAGTGTTTATTACACTTCATATTTTCTCAAATATTCATCTTCTAGGCCAGGAAGTAACAGATCAATGGTATGGAGAAGTAAAGATGTATACATTTGGCGGCGAACCAAGAACACTTAATGCAGGTAAAAATACCACTATAAAGATGTTTTGTCCATTGGACCACCGGTTTAAATGTTTATGTTGCTATATTCGTCATTTGGTACATGTGGTTATATTGCGTGGGTAGTGCTTGTTCATATTTGTTGGATGGGGTAATCATAGAGGGTCAAATTTAGACATTTGCTATAACCACTTCAACAACATTTTGTAGGTATATGAGCCTTTAGGATGGGGTAATCATAGAGGGTCAAATTTAGACATTTTCTATAACCACTTCAACAACATTTTGTAGGTATATGAGCCTTTAGGTACCCATGCAAGTGTAGAGTTTTTGCACATAATTATTATATTGATAACCTGACCCAACCAACCGATGGGCGAGTAAGTCCACTTGGACTCGTGTTCATCGAACACCCAATTATAATATATTTTAGAGACCTACCAGTTTTAGTTGAACCAGAAATCTTTAGAAATATACGTTTGAACGCTGATTGATTATTCCTAACCATGTAAAACTGTTCGACTGAGAATTGCAAAATGAACAAAAACATGGAAACATTTTGGACTAATTCAATTTCAGGCCATTTTACTCAGGTGGTGTGGAAAGGTAGTAAAGAGATAGGTGTTGGTAAAGCTCAGACTAGAGATGGTAAAATTATAGTGGTAGCTAATTATTTACCAGCTGGTAATATGATTGGAGAATATGCGTACAATGTGCTGCCACCAAAAGATGGCAAGATAACTTTACCACAACCAACAAGAGGTAAAAGCTTAAAATCATGTATATAAAAGTATTGATTGTTGCATCTGCTTGATATTTACGTAAATTTCTCCAAAATCAGGTACATGTATTTTGATATTTTGGTAGCTAAGAATACGGATAGAAAGCAGACTCGGTAGTATCTTAAACTGTATAAGGATATAATATGTAGATCTTTACAATGAATCCGCTCTTAGATCGGAATAGTAACAAAATATGTATGATCTAATTCTAATCAGATTATGGGGTGTATTGTTTCTTCTAGAAAAACTACATACAAAATTTGGTGGAGATGATTTTTCCTCAGTCAGTAGATTTAACAATAACACCGAATTCCCAAAAAGTGAAAAATACGGGAGTTCGAATAATTCTACCTCAACGACGCATTCCTTCGATGACTTTAATGATATGAAGAGAAGTTTGTTTGGTGGAAGCGGTTATCCCACAGAAAGTATTTCTACCCGAGGCTATCAATCCAGTGGAGAGAGTCGCAGTACCAGGACCTTTACTGTAACCGAGGGACATGGTGCCAACAAAGTTACCAAAATCATTGAAGAAGAGACCATTACCAAACCAGATGGCAGCAGAATTACCAACAGAAAAGAGACTGTAAAAAATGATAATGATGGTAACCAGCAAGGTTTCGGAAGTTTTGGCAATGAACCGGTACGTTGGATAAAATTTATGTTGCAAATCGTTGCCTTTAACTGGCTTGAACCGGCAAATCACGTCAGTGGGCGACTCGTTTGAACATTAATGTAAATTATTGTGGAAAATTCCGCCCAAGATTTCATTTCTGTTCCCTTGGTTCATGATATGAACAAAAGACAAACAAGGATCAAATCAGTATATTATCAAGTATTTTCATAGACTTGGGGAGAGTTAATAAGTCGCAAGTAATTAGTAGAAAGTGTGTGTCGTGTGTACAAACAAGTATTAACGTACAATGGACCATGATCGAAGTATGACGTCATCGCAGCCCTCTTGAAATTATGATAAACGTCATATCCAAAATCGAAGTCCGTCAATCGATGCAAAATTTTCCTAAAAACAAGTTTTATGTCGATCGTACATGAATTGGCCGAGTCTAAGGTTTTTTTTCTTTTCAAATAGCGTTGCCCCCAAAGAACAAGAAGATGAGTAGTAGTTAGGGCCCAGTTCCTGATCCAAAAAGTAGGCTACATATGCGGAAACAAACCACTATCCATGAAATCATGGGGGTTTATGTACCTGTGTCGTGATTGCATTGTCAACTATGTTCGAGGTAGTGACTTCTTGACCTTCATGATGAAATTTGAAATAAACTCTTTACAGAAGCTTGGTCCATAATAAGATTAGTGTGCACACCCACAATTTTAACCAAGCATTTGCTTTCAAAATCATCTATACAATCAATAGAAGTAAAATAAATGGACATGGTAAGACAACTCTGATTTATTAAGTCTCTCGCCATGTTAAATGCGATTAGAAGTCATGTTTGAATGAGCACCATGGTCAATTTAAGGTATTATATCAACCATAATGATTTCTCACACTATTCATAAAGGAGTTTTTGTATGTACTTGAACTTACTTATATCTTAATGTCTTACTGGATTATTTACAGACCAGAAAGCCCATTTTTATTTTATTTTTTAAAACCATCTTTTAGGATACTAATCTAAATGCAGTCAGTTTTACACTTTTTGGCACATTTACTTTGCAACCATTTCTTAAAGAAACAATCTTTGACATCTTATCTTAAATCAATATACATATTGTTATTTGTTTCATTGGGAAATGCCACAATTAATGCTTCATAGAGCAATATACAACACAATCACGATCTGTGTCCTACAGTACAACTTCTACTTAAAGATACACTATGCAAGAGCTAAATCTGCTATTGCAGGTCTTTCTTTAGGCCTGAAATGTTATCTAAACTATTAATTAGACATCACTTAACCTATCCAGACCATAATCAACTCTCGATGTCATCGGATACTCGAGATTTTAACTAGATTAAAACGGTTCGCCATTTAAAAATTTAATTTAAAAATAGGAAAGCGAGGTTAAGTTCCGATTATACCAGTGCCTTGGTTACCATTGTGCACACATCTTGGCATAACTATAAATAATGATACCTTGGCCGAGAATGAAGTAATTTGAATGAAATTTTCAAAATTTTCTTTTTTTATCATCTATTTTTGAATTATTATAGCAAGAATGACCAACTCTTTATTAAACTCTTAACTAATGTATCTTTAATGTTCAGTTTCCATGAGCAGCAGCCTTTCGGCGATTATACATATATATATCTACAACACGCATTTTACTGTACGCGATATGGTATATCTATATATTCTAAAGAGGACGGTTCATTTTTTTAAAATTGATCGCCGGATTTATTTTCCTATCTGGATTATGTTTGTTTGTGTTTCTCTTTTATTGGGAGAGCGCTTTGTCATCGCATATGATCATATAGATATATAGAAACTGACATTATAATCGCATCTATCATATGAAATATTTATGTTCCTCTTCATGAGTATGAATAACCAATTATTGTTAATGATTCTAATTTAAATAGATACACATTCAGCTCCATATCTATCTTACAGCAATAACTTATTGTAAATTGTTTTGCAGTTTGGTGACAGTGGTTCCCATAGATTTGGTGGGATGTTTGCAAGGAGTGAAACTAGTCGACCTGAACCATCCAGAGTAAATTAGCAACTGATTTTTATTTATGTTAAGCTACAACAAATTCCTCTAAATTAGATTTTAGATTCGAGATTTCATATTAAACATACATTATGTGAGAGCTAAATCTTAATTAGACATTTATTAACAAAACAAGACATCGGATACTCGGGATTTTAACTAGATTAGAACGGTTCGCCATTTAAAAATAGCAAGAATGGTCAGCTCCTTTGTCTGCCCTATTTTTAAATCCTATATTCATGTATGATAATTTTGTGTTTTATAGTTTGATACTAGAGGAAGATTTAACAGAAATGCTTCAGATAAGGTTAATATTAATAGTGTTTTTCTATATGGAATCCTTTGGAACCCTGAATCCGTAGGACCCACTTCTCTACTTATCGCGAATCGTCAAACAGTCAGACCAAAACATTCTTTTTCGTTCGTTCATTTCAAACAGCCTCCAAATATGGATATGGAAAGGAAACCTTGATATGGCGGGGGAAAGAATCTCCGTTTCTGCACAGTTCAGCATGGGACAGTCTAAATATATAATTCTTTACGTCTTGTGTTTGTCTCCCAAGCGACTTAATGAATCTTGTTAATATTAGACATGCCTCACTACACTCGAATAAATCAATAGATTAAATCCCAAAACAAAATAATATAATTAAGGTTATTAATATGTATCTACAATGTATATGAACACGGTTACCGTTTGTTTATTATAATAGTTAATCACCCGTCCCTTAGTTACTTCAACATAAGATATGACTGTTGATTTCTAAGCCAGCACTTTTAAAGGTTTAGAGAGGACGTTCATCGGAAGTCTGACACTGTCTTGCTCCCGGAAACGTATTGGAATATAAATATCCATGTAAGTGTAAGTGATGCTACTTTCCGTCACAGTGGTGTTAAAAGCTCTTGAAATGTGACACCATTGGAAATACATGTAAATCAGTTTAGATTTTGCTGGCTTTCAAGCAGATTATTCCTGACTTCATATCATAATTTATTTTCTACTTTTGTCATTTTTTCCCATACTTTCTGTTTTCATCATTCGTGTTTTTGTTATAAATATGTCTGTGTCTTGACTAGCTAGTAATTCAATACAACATAAATCTCATCTTTTGCATTTAAAATTACTTTTTAGCCTTCCACCACTACGGATTCTTTTTCTGGATCACGTCAAAACCCACAAACCATGACTGAATTTATAGATGGATGTGTCAAAGTTCACAATAGATTAAGGGCAAAGCACGGTGTACCGGAATTAAAACATAGCCCGGAATTGAGTGATTATGCGCAGAAATGGGCCGAACAACTTGCGACTACAGACAGCTTCCAGCACAGTCAGTGCAATTTAAAAGGCCAACGTTTGGGAGAGAATATCGCATGTAAATGGTCTTCAGGCGGAGGGGATTATACTAGTAAGTAAGCTTAGAACCTATTTTACAGTTTTATAGTCATACTAAATATAATTTCGCCCAGTGATCTAATACCCCTTCTAAATAAGTATTGCTCTTTACTTTTGAAATCCAAATAGTTATACCCTTACTCATACGAGTTATTTGAGATAACCGAAACCAATAATCAGAGACGTTTGCACTTTGCGGCACTTAGTATGGGTGTGTGTGTTGGGGAATTGCAGAAATAACGCCAACTTGAATACGGCTTTTTGTGCCAATCTCAAGTACCGTGTTTTTGATATGCGCAGTTGGCATTAATCTTATTTGGCTTTCAAAACTGAAGATCAATATTCAACAGTGTTAAATTACTTTAGATCTGATTGATATAACATACCTACAAGCTAATGAGTTCGAAATTATGTTTCCAACAATAGAAAAATCATTTCTTGGACTCGGACAGCAGTTGTAGACTTAATAAAATGTTTTCCCCGCTATTTTAATTACAGGTGAAGAAGCTGTTGAACAATGGTATAGTGAAATAAGTAAACATGATTATAGTTCACAGAGGTCATTAGGAACAGGTTAGTTGCATAATCAACATCGAGAAAAAAACTGGTTTACTTAACTTTCCATTTAATATTTATTGTTTGGCTGTGTGGATCAAGGCTACATATATTGAACCACCTAGTCCAATATACGCCACACATTATTCAAATTGGACCGTTTTGAAACTTCCTCTTTTGTTATTTAAAAACAAGGAATCATATTTGCTCGGTCTCATATTTGTTAAAAGTGGTTACCTTGATTATTTGACATGCATATTTCTTGGTTAACGTAAGTATGGATGGAAATAGAGAGGTTATAAGTTAGCTGGCCCAATATACCTGCCTGAAATATATACGTACCTATTCAGATAGTATTGCAGGAATTCTAAAGTGAGAGTAAAAGAATAGAGATTTACTCGCTCAGCATAAAGAATAGCTTACGTTGGAGATGGGTGTGTGCACGTGCAAGCAATTTGTAGGCAACGGGTGCGGGATTGCCACGGTTTTAGACCGGGTGAGGGTGGGTGGTGGGGCTGCCATTTTGTAAAATCACATGATTAACTTGATAACGTTGAGAGAATACTCTACGAAACGTCGCCTTAAATACACTAGTAGCTGTTTTCCATAAGTATGTGTTTTGTTGTTACTCTATCCAGTTACTAAATGCCATTTAAAGAACATGATAAAAAAAAGTGGTCCACGAGCGATTGATTGCTGTCGCATACACATAAATTGGTGGACGAGCAATTCTTTACCGCAAAATATCAAACTTGTGTTAGCGTATTTCATCGAACTTAATTGTTTATAAACTACGATAAAAAAACAAATAAAAATTGAATTCAAATAACTTTACATGTACATTGTATGTTCACTCATATTACATTGACATATACTTTTAGGTCCATTTTTTTTCTTCGGGAATCACGTGGCTTAGTGGGTAAGACGCTGGCTCGCTAGCCTGGAGGTCGGGTGTTTGATCCTTGCATTGGCCGTGGTTTCCCCTTGTCAGTGATGCAGGTCGGAGGGCCTGACAAGGACAGCTGTCTAGTCGTTCGAATGGAAGGAAAAACCGAGGTCCCGTGTACACATTGGGGTGCACATAAAAGATCCCTTGGCAGTTGGAATTCGATATAAGAGTAGGCCGTAGCGCCGCTGTCCGAGCAAAATTTCCCTCATAGCACACTGTATGGCATATGCCCGTCTTCATTAGCCCAGTTTAGGAGCAGAACAGTAGGACGTTAAACCCCATTTCATTTCATTTCATTTAGGTCCATTTTCGTCAATTGTAAGGTTTCATATAATAGACGCCCTTTAAATACGTTACATTTTTTATTTTTGATTGACGTAATTTTATTTCAGGCCATTTTACACAAGTGGTATGGAAGGATAGTAAAGAATTGGGAATAGGAAAAGCCAGAGCAGCCGGAGGAAAAATTGTGGTAGTAGCCAGTTACAAACCGGCTGGCAACGTAATCGGCAATTATAAAGAGAATGTTTTTCCCCCAAAATAACTACGCACAAAAACTTGCCTAAGATTTTACAAATTTAACCTATTATAATTATGCTATATTGAAGTGTCATCAAAACCATGTATAGATTTTGTAAGATTACACTAAAACAAGTTCATGTTTGGGAAAATGAATGCGATTTAAATCCGCTCCATTTCATCACGTCTTTTTGACTTTATTTGAAACCAGTAAGTTTATGATATTCATTTGCTAATAAAGCAAATTTGGAATAGTTTAATTGTGGTCTAAAAGCTAACTTGGTCTTTAAAAATTTAAAAACGAACTTAATCACTTCCATTACATCATAGAATATAAATCATGTTGGCCCAATAAGTAAGATTCGCCGAACTAATTATAAGCAATGTCAAGGTGGGGGTTAGATAGCAAATAATAAGGTGGTCAACTAGGCTAACTTCATATATATGTATCTCCCTCCGTACGTTGTTGATGCAAGGTTGTTCGGCGTGGATACTGATTACATAAATACACCAACAGAACATTTCGTTAATATATCTTTTTAAATTAAGTACATATCTATCGTCCGCTAACGTCTTATAAGGTATTATCTTTAATACGGGTATAGGTTTATATTTTACTCGGTGCTATGTAAAACATCATTCTTTAAACTATTTTATAATTAATAACGACATTGTAGTTATCTATTATAGATCATTTCTAGAAATTACGACTGTTATTTCCCACAATTTGTTTTTATTAATAACAGCTGTTAATATATATTGTAAAACACCATTTCCCACAAATTGTTATTATTAATAACGACTGTTAATATCTATTATAAAACACCATTCCACCAAAACTATTATTATTAATAACGATTGTTAATATTTATTGTAAAACATCATTCCATCAAAATTGTTTTATTATTAACGACTGCTACTATTAATTGTAAAACATTATTCCCTCAAAATAGTTATTGTTAATAACGACTGCTAATATTAATTATATAACATAATTCCGCACAATTGTTATTATTAATAACGACTATTAATATCTATTATAAAACATAATTCTCCCAAGCAAAATTATTATTAATAATGACTGTTAATAATTATACTAAAACGTCATTTCTCAAGATTGTTATTATTATTAATGGCTGCTAATATCTATTATGAAACATCATTCCACCAAAAATTGTTATTATTAATAACGACTTTTATTATAAAACATCATTCCCAAAAATATTGTTAATGTTAATAACTATGGCTAATATTTATTATAAGACATTATTCACCCTGTACAACGTACAACATTTAAACATCTATTATAAAACAACATCCCAAATATACTGTTATATAAATACTGTTATAATTGTGTACTCCGAATTATAATCAATAGCAAATGTTATAAGCCATCATTCCCTAAAATATTAACCACAAACATCTATTATAAAACAATTCGAAACTAGTGTTAATGTTATAATTATTTTCTTAGAATTATAATTAATAATGACTGTTATAAGCATTATCATTCCCCTAAATATTTGTGTAATAATTCATAACGACTTGCTACTATAAACAAAACATTTTGTGTAATAATTCAAAATGACTTTATAAAACTGATATTGTGTAACTTGAAGGCATATTATTATAATTATCTCGATACGAAAAAGAAGTAAGCATAATTTACTCGAAAATTCATTCTTTTCTAACCTTTATATACATTCCATTGTTGTTATTATTTATACTATTAATAATATATACGTATACTGTTGTTAATGATGCATAATAAATCAATTATTTACTACACTTTTGTTGAATTGTGATATTATTATAAGGATCGCTAATTAAACTTGTAAAAGTGTTACCGCCTCATTCCCTATTATGCATGGTTAATGTTAGCCTCGGACAATGAGCTCCAGAAAAATTGGATATTTAACATGCCCACTTTTGGAGAATTAATTTAAGATTTGTAAACAAAATGAATAATTTACGAACACATCGGAATCTCAAGATGCACTCGAAAGATTATGTGTTCAATTAGGAGATAAACACTTCCTGTTACGTATTTAGAGGGGGTTTATTGTCCATTTAACCATGCTTGAATCATTAGAACACGAGACGCGATAGCGTCGAGTTGTTCTAATGGATAATTCAAGCATGGTTAAATGGACAATAAACACCCGATAAATACGTAACAGGAATGTGTTTATCGATATTGTAGCACAAATATTTGGAGATTTTCTTCGGAACTATTTAGAAAACATTTTTACACCCATTTTAAAAAGTCGTTATTTGGTCACGCGCTTGCGTTCATTTTTCAAAATATTTTCAATAGACGGTCTCTTGCTTCTGCAAATCTAAAATTTTTGAGTCTCGAGTTGCTGGTAAATGAATTATGAAAGAAAATGTTATTCGGATATCGAAAACAACAAAATATTTTTAACGTTTGAAGATCTTTTAAAGAACGAGAAATTAGTATTTTTTATTGCGGTATTTCGAGACTAAAAGAGGAGTAACTCTTGGCAACAAAAATGACTTCGCTTCGGGAGTTTCATGTAAGTTTCCAGCATTTATTATTTTATTTTGCAGACTGTTATCACAATGTTGTAGCTAGTTCCTCTTTACACAATTGCAGTTCATACTTACACCCTCTAAAATACCGTATAAACCATGACAATGATGTCTAGTCTAAGATGCCAGTGGTTGCTATCATAGATAATACGGTATTATCTATGTTGCTATGAAGCTGTTCTGACGTGTTGTCAACAAATGACAATTTTGGCATAAATGATAATGATTAGGCCTATATTTCAGCTGCTGTATTCGACTCCCTCATTGTATTTTCAAGCGATTCCTTGTGACTAATGACTTATTATTAGGTAGATCATGCTAGTCAGATTTTGAAAGCAGGATTTTTTAAAAAAAAAATCCACCAGATTAATAAAAATTGGTGAGTGAAGCTAGCCTACCAAAAAAGAAAACATAGGCTACTGACACTGTCACTGCCTAGTTACGAATATATTTGGATACCTGAAAACGGTTTTAATTAATTTATGACTGATTTTCTACTGTTTTATGTATTTCAGAAATGTGATTTCATAAAAGATGATGTTTGAAACTGGTGTGATAGTCATGTGTGCAGAATTCCTTGAAGATATTTGCCAATAAAGATTTGAGTTGAGGAAGATCATTGGCACAAAAATGAAAAAAAGTACACTGTTATATTTATACGCAGTAATTCGCCTTGAAAATTTAGAGGGGGTTTATTGTCCATTCGACCACACTTTTCAACCAATCAGAATCGAGGAAATTTCTAATTTGTGCTACAATAGTGTTTGACTGCGAGGCGTGTTGATTTTCTTCTAAATTATGGTAACTACTGGTTCTTTATTGGCCCCCGCCTTTCGAAGAAATGAAATGGGGTTTAACGTCCTACTGTTCTGCTCCGAACTGGGCTAATGAAGACGGGCATACACCATACCAATCTGTTTCACAGATATCTTCTAATATCTCTGTAACAGATGACTGTTTCGACACGTGACGTCACATCACGCGGCGTCAATCATTGGCTCAATAGCTCGTGCATTGTTTACATAAGACGTTACTGATTCGGGCTAAATGGTGAATTTTACTTATTTTAATACCCATTTACACTAAATAGGAAATGATTTCAACCTACAAACAATTCAAACGTCTTTATTTATTTTTCCAATAAATGAAAAAAAAAATGTTTTAGAATTTAATTTGACGGAAGAAAAAAATTAATATTTGGGACTCATTAAGTCGCATCGATGTCATCCTTAACAGTGATTGTAGCAGCCTAGCGAAAATTCACTGCTGATCAGTGTGACACCAGTGTGCTATGAGGGAAATTTGCCCGGTCAGCGGCACTACGGCCTACTCTTGTATCGAATTCCAACTGTCAAGGGATTTTTTACGTGTACGCAAAATGTGTAGATGGAACCTTGGATTTTCGTCCCATCCGAACGACAAGACAACTGTCCTTGCCAGGTCATCCGTCCTGCATCACTGGCAAGGGGGAACGACGCCAGAAAATCTGGATGAACTTTCTCGGCCAATGCAGGTACCGAACACCCGACCTCCAGGCTAGCGAGCCAGCGTCTTACCCACTTAGCCACTGTCACACTTTCTGGGCACATTAACTCTGGTTCTAATTGAGCTAAAATGTTCAAACTTAGTGTAGGTATTAACTAGGAGAATGCCTTGAGTTCGATTCTAACTGAATGAGAATGGCTAAACTATGCGTATAGTTTCAATACATCAGTACCTTAACAAAGTTCAATAGATGGATCCATGAGTGCAGAATGCATAAATACCTTTACTAAGTCCTATGATGAGCAGTTTGATTGGTAGCGACTTTGGAGCTCAACAACTTTGATTCTAATTGAGCGAGAATGGCGAAACCTAGCGTATATATATATTATATCAATACCATGACTGAGTTCAATAATGCGCATTTCCTATAGTTTCATTACATCAATACCTTGACTAAGTTCAATAATGAACATTTTGACTCGATGTATAACTTTGCTTCTAATCTAAGTCAGAGTGATGAAACGGGAACTATTAAAATGCATCTATTCGTCTACCACCCTTCGGACCATATTTCTGCTTCAATTATGAGCATTTTCTGCGCGCATTAAGCACTGATAAGAAAAATGATCGATATTTTATATTTAAAAGATAAATATACAATTAGAAAATGTGTGTCATCTAATTACTTTTTCAATTTGGCGGGGGACTTCAGCCTCACTGTTGGCTTGTTTTTACAAATACTTTGTAACGGGAGATAATACTTCAAAATGGAAACATCATAATAATCATTCCTGTCGAGTCAAGTCAATAGGTGGTCAAATACCAAGAGACAAGAGAGATTTTATGTTTATATACTTACCATAATCTTTTTATAAGTAAGAAACACACACAAAAAAATTTAAAAAAAACATTTATGGTTTTATGTTGTGTAGCAATAGGTTAATTTTGATCTTTAATTTAAGAGTCTGTGTTCAAAACATTTCTTGGCCTAGCATATAACATTTTTATACGCCCACATTTTCATGTGGACTTATTATGCCGTCGCCCCTGTTTGTCCGTCCGTCCGGCATATATCGGACGATAACTTCATGGATTATGGCCCCTGATTGTGGACACTCAAGAGGTCACAATATCGGATCATAACTTCCGGAAATATAGCCCTTGATTGTACGAAGAATCGCGTTTTTAGCTTGTGGTCCCTTTATCCGATTTAATAAAAAAAACGTTTGAATATATCACCGTTATACCGCAATGATGCTTGAGTTTGAATTTCGTGAAAATCGGACCAAAACCGCCGGACAAAAATTGCCAGCCCTTGTACGGAAATAGTGTATATATCGTATATCAAGGTTGTGGTCCCTCTAGAGGCCACAATTTTGATCCGATTTTGAAGAAACTTGAAATATAAGTTTATAACCCAAAGATCTTGGTTCCTGTTGTTATTCGCGCATATCAGTTGCCACCCCTCTCACGCAAATAGTGTAAATATAAGTTAAATGAAGGTTGTGGACCCTCTAATAGTCACAATGTTGATCCGATTTTGATGAAACTTTAAATATATCTTTATAACCCAAGAATATTGGTTCCTGGCGGTATTCGTGCATATCGGATCGTAACTTCCTAAATTATGGCCCTTGATTTTACGAAAAATCGCTTTTTGTTTAGCTTGTTCTCTATCCATCTCTTGCAAAATGTGGGCGTATCCTGGTTTATAACATTCAGATGATCTTAAAGGTTATGACTACAAGGAGCTCAGTATTGTCACAATCACCTTATAAACACATTGAAGTGGGTTGATTTTTTCTTGGCTTAGTGTGTTAGTAAAAATGAAACTGACTGATCCACAGGCCCCCTAGTACGACTGACGCAGCCATGAGCCGAGCACTTTAAGTGCAAGCTTTCCAGCGGGATGCTAGAAGATTTTTCAGAAAACACTTACAAAAAGGGAAAACTGACTACTACGCATAGTATTTTATTATATTTGTTAAGAATTTTGCAAGAACTACAAGTACTGTGAATCTGTGACAAATTCTGAAAGTGATCATTACATCATTTACATGGACCTATATCTTCCACGATATACATAAATTAGCAAAGATATGACTATGTCATATTGTCATTAAGCGTCCACGTTTTATCAAGTTTGACCACCGAAGGGGATTTTGTCATGGTTGACCATGTCCATCAGTTAACGCTCAACCCAGTCCCCCCCCCCACCATATTTACGCCCCTTCCCCCGGTCAAAGGATTCTATAGGAATTGATATCATTATAATGGACGATTTCCTGAATTCATGTTTACTTCCCGATCTCTCTGCCTCAAATCCTGAATATTCAACAAAACCTGGGACAAAATGTAAAACCTATCACACAAATGGGGGGGGGGGGGGGGTGAAAGAGAGAATTGCTAGAAAAAGAGAAATCTGATTTCTGATATTGTTCTTCAATGTGACCAAAAACTCCATTATTTTAGAAAAAAAAATCCCAACAATATGGTGCTTAGTAGAATGTTCACAAGAGGGGCACTTAAGACCTGTGATGACAAAAATGAAATAAACAATCTTTAATATTCAAAGCAGTTATTTTACCCCGGATTCTAACTTGTCAGGGTTAGTGATGTCAAACAATGTAAACACTGATGTGGGGTATAATTTAAACGAACCCTTGACAGCAGGGATACTTCTGGGTAAAATCATTCTTCCTGAGATTGCACACACATGAGAGAAATGGGGGTATGGCATCCATTCAAAACAAACTAGGTTATTTTGGGACTAACATGATTTAATTTTTATTTTAATAAATCTTTTGCACGTTGGGGTCCTTAGCAGTGGGAGGAATTTGGAGGACCCAGAAAAGACCCACGAGAATGGACAGGGAATCCAAACCATGTTACTTGACTCAATGACGGACCTTTCGATCTAAAGTGCATGTATTAATCATTTGGCCACTTGACCACCCCCTCTGAAATATGTTTCTAAACAAAATAACAACAACAGGTTTTTAGATGTAGATGTTTCAATTATCTTATATTCTTAATAATTTTAATACACTAATAACAATATTATATAGCAGGGCATTAAAATGAATATATACACATGCTAAGTATATCTTTAAAATTATAATATGGAAAGTTAAAGTCTGATCCTTGGTAGGTTAGGAATATTTGGACTAGCAACAAATGTTACAGCACATTTATTTAATCATTTAACTACTTGTAACACAGATAGTGCTGAACACTAAGTTTGGAAGTGAAAAAGCCTTTTTGCCTTTTGTGTGGACATTCAGAAAAATAAAATTATGTAATGTGTAACTTCCTATAATAGCCAAGTCTGGAATTTATCTTTTTAATTTAGATTAATTAATTGCATGTATCAAGGCTCTGGTTTTGGTCCATATTTGTTGATCTTGACTGAATAAATTGACTTGTTAGAGAATCTACCTGTAAGTCAATATGCATGTCATAGAATTAGATATATTTAATCCAAAATCACTACAGTTAAATTTAGATGTCTAAAATTGTCATTCTTCAAAAAAAAACCCCAAAAAACTGAAATAAACAAATCACCAGAAAAATTGACCAGCTGGCAAAAGCCAGAAATGAAAGCCTCCTTTGGATTAAGTATATACATGTTAAAATATTTAATCATTAACATGTAACACTAACACTTCAATTTCTTCAGACATCTTTTTAAATTGAACTAACTCCAAAAAAAAAAAGTGAGAGCCTGTATGTGTTGGTAAAAGGACCTTTTACATTTCTACTAATATATATTGTAATGAAACACACTCCAATTCAGACAAAGTTATATAGAATGGTACCCTAAATTTAAACCATATAATATAATTATTATTAACACTAACATAAACCACAGAAAGCTAATCTATTTATTTTCATAATAATAACTGCAAGGAACCAAGCATTTTTACAAGTATTATGTATTTCTTTTATTTGAATATTCATAATAGATTTTGAAATTTAACAATTGAACATATCTGTCATTTACTACAAAAGAGGTTTCACGGTCTATTTATTGATCACATAATCAAAGTACAAGTAACCATTTAAAGCAACATTTAATAAAATAGATCACAAAAAGATAGAGCACTTGTAAGCACAAACAGTTTGTATGTTCATCCAAAAAAAAAACCACAAATAATAATAAAAAAAAACCTTGGCCAAACAATAACAACAACAAAAAATTTATAATAGTTTAATGATGTACAAGAATTAATATTTTTAATTACATGTTTCTCCATATCTCTAATTATTCTACATGTTAATTTACAACCTTTATCTTTTTCGTTGATTATTAGCATTTCTAGTCAATCAATCTGTCTATGTACATTTCCATTCTGAAATCATTAAATAATCATCATTCTATGTAACTTCCTTACTTCAAATGAGTCGTGGTTACGATTTATATAAGTACTGTCTAGAAAACATACATCTTAGATTTTTTGAGTACATAATCCAAATATGTGAAATGCAAGAAGTGTTAAAAATTCACTTGGACAATCATAATACTTCTACGACCAATTGAAGCTCTCAGATCATTACCAAATGAATATATAATTGGCTAAAGACGTGCATTTAAAAGCTACTGGCTCAAAAAGACATAAATTCAATTGGACAATCTTAATACTTCAACCAATTAAAACACTCTGATCATAACTAAATGAATAACAATTGGCTTATAAGAGATGTATTTAATATGTAAATCTTGTAAGTCAATCTTATATTGTTGACATATTGATGATGTTTGTTGGGAAGTAATAATATGACAATTGTACGATAATTAAAGATACTCATGATATTTGTTGGGAATTAACAACTGTGCGATGGTCAAAGATATACACTTTGTAGGTAACTTTTTTTTTGTGAAACTAATTTACAATTTATGTGCATTGTAATCCTGAACATATTTCTTCAAGCCAAAAAGATGTAGTTTTTAACTGTCAAGACTCCCTATTTATGGCAATACTAATGTTCTAATGTTAATGGTTACAGGATAGTGACTCAAGTAAGCAAAATCATTCATAATGTACATCATAATGTTCTAAAGATAAAAATTTGGAAATCTGTCACAGAAACATCAATCATTCACAAGAAATAAGAAATATTCATAGAATAATAACATTTTTAAGAATGACATTACACAGTATCTGTAATCCATACATATTTATATAAATATATGTAAGATTTTATTTTACATAAATACATACATAATGTCTCTTTATTAAAGAATTATTTATAAAATATTAAAATATTAAGCCACACCAAAATAGAAATAACGTTTGAGAAAATACAAACATTATATACCTTATACTGAAATGATCTGACCATGTCACCATAGACAACATTATTTGTGCATTTTTAGATGAATAAGAACACATAAGAGTTTTGCATTAAACAACTTTTTCTAAAAGTAAGTGGAGGCTCCAGGACCTTAATCACCCACCATTTGAACAATCCTTCTAATAAGATGTTTAGGACAGGGGTGTCAAACTCATTTTGATTCAGGGGCCAGAGATATATAAATATTTTAAAAACAAAGCCAAATGTCTTTGAACTTTACTGAATTCTAAAAACAAAGACAGTTAATTTTTTAGTCTGGTTTCCAATTGCCAAGCTATAATATTGAACACCACAATCGCTTGTATTACATACATCTTAGATATCTATGACATACAGTACAGAAGTCAGATTTTTACTGAAACCGGAAAACAATAATAAATGATTTCCACCACTAGTTTCTAAGAATTATCGACACGTCAGTTTGTTGAAATTTGTTCCACGGGCCACATTTAAACCCTTGTTGGGCCGGATCTGTCCCGTGGGCCGCATGTTTGACACCTCTGTTCTAACACCTTCATAACCCATCATTTGAACAAGCCTTCTAATAAGCGGTTAATCACCCATTATTTGAACACGCCTTCTAACAAGCAGTTAATCACCCATTATTTGAACAAGCGGTTAATCACCCATTATTTGAACAAGCCTTCTAACAAGCGGTTAAGCACCCATCATTTGAACAAGCCTTTTTAGAGTTTCTAATTAATCACCCATCACTTTGACAATCCTCCTAATAATTGTAATTTCCTTGAATAAATCTACAATAATCAATCATTTTCAAAATACTGTTATAAGGCAAATAATTACCCTTTCCTCTTTGCCCCTTTAAATGTTCCAATGTCCTAGTAGTTGTATAAAACATTTTTATTTATCAACAAATTCATTCCCTCTATATCACTCCAAGAAAAACTTCCATGTCAGAACATAAGCTTGATGGGCAAAAAAATCATTCTTGTTGTTTTTCCAAAAACTGTCAAACAAAATTCTATTCAGGTTTAGCCTAACAATAATATTCTTTTAAAACATATACATATAAACAAAACAGATAATATTTAATCAAACTTTCAAAAAAAAAAAACCTATTCCAAAATCTCTAAATATGTTAAAGGAACTACACCATGTGTATTTTTCTTTTCAGCCATTAACCAATCTGGATCCAAACCCGCCACAGAATATACCATTATTAACTGAAATAAAACAAAAAAATTATATGCTTTGGATATTAATTCACTACATCAGGTGGTGAAAAATGGATAATTTGATGTAGATGTTTACTAGGTTCAGGCTCAACAATTAATGCATGATTGAAAAGTTTGACCAGTAATTGATGGAAAAGAATCTGTCTTATCTCCAATACCCTTTGCCTGTTAATAACTCATTTCAAGACCCTCCAATCCACAAATGGAAGATAGGTTACCATGAAACTAAACATAAACCCACAGCAACTAAGTCAACTGACCAGTCCAAAAAGGTTATGTCACATTTCGAATTTTCATGTAAAGAAAAAGCAATATCTTTATAATGTACAATTTCATTGTTACGTTCACAATATTTATATGACATAATCAAGGACAATAACAAGTGGTATACAAATGATTCTTTCAGTCATTTGAAAGATGCATATAAATTTCACACAGATCATATGATAACTTTTGTTGTTAGAGCATTTTTAATACTCTACAAGGTGAAACAAGGGCCATAACTAATGTCTTACTAATGTCAACAATGGAGCATTCACAAGATTCTACAAAGTGAAACAAAATTCTTAACTATCTTACTTATGTGAAACATCATAAATTTTTAAAAATATCAGAAAACAAATGTCTGCTAGGTTGATACAAGAAATTGTGAACGACGGATGTATAGATGGCCAGAAGGGGATGACAGCAATATAGTATACAACTACATTTGGGGGTATAAAAATGAACCCATTTGTTTTATTTTCTAGTGAACTGGTAACTATTGAAATCAAACAACTTCTCAATGAAGGCATTCTCCTAAGCCTCTTCTATTCAAGATCTTGAAAGGAGCAAATCAAACCAGCTAATAATGTGTACTGTCCAGTGTCTATAGATATTTGAGGCAAATGCATGTCATAGTTGAAATCTATCAAAATCCTGTTTATTTTATTACAAATTATCACGCTTTCAAATTTAGACAAAATTTATATGGTTCATTTTTGGACATTTGTAATACAATTTTAAGTTGAAGTTCAAGTCATGAAAGCATTTATATACAGAATTAATTAAAAAAACTTAAAAGTAGAACACAGAGAAATAATAATTAATGTAATGTACTAAAAATAATGAAATTTAACAACACTATATTAGATAATTACAGATACACACATGTATACAACATCTGTAAGTTTATAAAAATAAAACAACCCAAAACAACAATAAGTGAAAAAAAAGTTGGAATATAGTTCCAATAATTAGTCCAAGGGGACAGAATATAGTTTTTTTTTTAGTACTTTCACCATTTCGAAGTTTTTCATGCATATTAATGAAATAAATACAAATGAAACTAAACATTTTTTTTTATAATGCCTGGGACTACACCAATTTGATTAAATTCAGTTGATTTTCAATTACTATTTTTCTTTCATTACTTAATTGTTTAATATTAACTATTTTGCCAGACTTTAATGAAAGTTTTAGTGTGTCGCTAGGATAATAATTTATTTAAATAAATAAATGTCTAATCAATAGTTTATATAACATTTCAAGCCTAAAGAAAGACCTGCAATAGGCAGATTTAGCTCTTGTATAATGTATGTTTAATAGATTGTCAATTCAATATTATTATTATACAATCATAGGAATTATTCTTATAAAAATTTGAAATAGTATCATTTTTCCCTGGAAAACTAAGTCTACATAATGGAAGTGAGCAGTTGTCGTGATTGCCCCTTTGACACTTTCAAAAACTCAACGCTTTTGTTTCAACAAGAAATTGCTAAATTATTTGTCAATTTCTTAACTGACACTGGTGAATTACAGGATTAATCTTTAACTTGGTAGGACTGTTTATATTCTAAGGCTTTACATATGACTTTAAACATAAAGCAATTATCTCTTTAAGTATTCTCCCAAACAACAAGTGCTTTATACAAAGATAAAAATAGCAGCATCTATATACTAAAAGGTTTGTTGGTTATATATGTCTTTAAATAGTGCACATATAGAAGACAAAAGATCAGATGATAACTTACCACTGATCAAGTATAAATGTCACATGATCATTTTTGTAAGAATCATTTTCACTGTGCCAGAAATTAGGTGATAACTAATTTTATAAAAGCTAATTGTGAATAACAAATGGTTTTCCTAATAGATATGCATGTGCATGTGGGTATTTAAAATTGTCCATATATAAATAAATCTACTCAATTACCAGAATGTACAGAAAAAAATAGAAGCTGTTTGGATTAATACCCCAAAGTACAGCACTCGAAAATATGACAGACAAATAAACAAATTTGTTAAATTCTAGATTCATCTAGACATTTAGCGAAGAAAGAGCTCAAAATAAACTGTGCTTAAGTTAAAAAAGATAGATTAAGTTATGGAACCCGATTACTGTCTAATAAAAATAATAAAAAGCTCAATCAGCACTAAACTAAAACAAATCACTTGAAGCATTCATGTATCTTAAACAAACTTAACTTAAACAGATGAGAGCGTATGTTTATCTTAGGTAAAATTCTCAAGTTAAAGATACATTATCCAAGAGCTAAATCTGCTTATTGCAGGCCTTTATTTTGGCCTTAAATGTTATATAAATTATCAATTAGACATTTATTAACTTGCCAAGACCATAATCAACTGTCAATGCCATCAGATGCTCAAGATTTTCAACGAATTGAAACACGATTGATAGTTAATGATTTAAGTAAAAATTTGATATCAAGCCTTTGTTTACTATCGTAACAATGGTAGCAATGACAATTGAGACTCAGCTATTTTCCAAACAGTCCTAACATCGCTTAGAGTGAAGTAATTTGTCGGAAATTTTCAAGGTATTCCCTTTTCATTATCTAGTTTTTAAGTATTAGAGTGAGAACTGTCAGCTCTTTATCTAAATCTTACATAATGCATATTTAACATCTGGCTCGTAAATCAACCTGTTATGCAATCGGCAAGCCAGAAAATTAAAGTTATTGAAAACTCTATGTATTAAATATGTGTTACAGTAAGATGAAAATGAATGGCTTATTATAAAATGTTAGTAACTCTGCTAACCTATTATTAGTAGTTGATGCTAGTTTATGAGAAAACCTGAATGTTTTAATATGGTTTATCACCTAAATCTGGTTCATCAACTAACTTTTCAAGAAACTTATAAACCTCCAGATTGGTGCACGCTATGTAGTTTTTCATAGAACATATTTATAACATACAATACAAAAGCTGCAAAGTGTGCTGAACATTAGTTTGCAAACATTTTGAATGTCTGTCAATTTGACAAATGCATTGAACACCTAAACTTCAAATAATGGAACTGTATTTGAGGTTTATCTCATAAACTAGACTGGAAGAATGTTGCAATGTGTTCAACATAGTTACCTCATCAGCTAACAGTGAAAGTTCTGAGGAATTGGCCGCTTCATAATCATATAAAACACGAGCTTGTTTTTTCTCTGTGGGCGTGGCAGCTGTGACTTGTATTGCAGGGGGTGCTGAGGGTTCAAGGGGGTTGATATTATTTGTGAACGCGGATGAGGACTGGTGCATGTTGGGTAAATTACCGCCACCTACATTAGAGCCAACGGAATAACTGAAATGACACAAAATAAAGAAAGAAAAGAGAATAAGACTGAGAGACATTCATAACCATGCAACCATTGGAGGAGTCTTCACACAAAATCAAAATTAAAAAAAAAAAGAAAAGAAAAAATAGTTTGTAATAAATTCTCTTTGTATGAAGTCAGTTCCATACTCTCTGCAAATTTTTTTTCTTTTATCGCAACTTCCATTTTACCAGAATTTACAAAAATCCAACTCTTCACAAAATTTTATTCAAAATTTGAAAACTTCAGTCAACCATTCATTATCCACTTCCAATGTTCGCTATTGAAATTGAGAAACCCAAGTATATTTGGTGTGTGTATTGCTTCTTTCGATTGGCTGAATGATTAGGATCACAAGGCAAGCTTCACTGAATGAATATCAAGATTGAACTTTCAACATGCTGAAAACATGCACAATCCAACACAAAAAGCATGTCACAATGGAGGTAGAAATATTTGGGGGGATAACTCACATTTAAAGCCATGAAGCAAGCACATTCAAGGGATTAGTTTAGCAGAATTAGTTAACATCACTACATCTGATTCAAAAAGATATATGTAAAAGCTACTTCCATTATAAAACAACAAATCTTCTGTTTCTTTATGGTAAATAAATACATATTTCTTGATAACCCAGTAATCAATGTCTGGATGATCAAGAATAATAAACAACCTCATGTAAACTGATGTTAATCAAATTCTGTTAAACTAAAACACTATGAAAAAAATAAATATACGTTTAGTAACTGTAAGAGTGTAAGTGCAACTATATTGAACAAAAAACACTAAATTAACTAATATGGCTATAACATGTATAGTATATAAACTATATTATATTCCTACCCAATATAAAATGGTGATAAATGTGGAGTTATCAGTTTATTCAGCTGTTCCAGGACTACTGCAATAAGATTTATAGATATATCTACTAATTAATCACAAAGTTTACATACTAAGATATCATTTTTGCTGACAAACTAATGTTCACTGGACATGTCTACATTACTTATTGCATAAATTCTAACATAAATAGGAATATGTGTCCACGATTTGACTCAGTAAACAATACCTGAAAAAAATTGTAAAAAAGTCTCTGATTTGCAGAGTGGATGCTGGACGAGTTAATAGTTAAATGTGAGCATACAAAATTAAAGATTGAGAAAATTATTAAATAGGTATCCAAAATTTGTTGCTAAATTTAAGGTTATATGTAGAAATTGAAATAATGTAGTAAGGTATTGAAGCATAAAGGAGACATAAAGGAGTATTTCTAACCCAATGGAAACAAGACAAGTCAGTCATCAACTGGACATGTTTTGGAAGGAACATGGATAGACAATCTCTGTGTTCTTGGTTATCAACAATCATACTAGTTGTTTATATTATGTTATAAGATGTAGTATATGCCATCTCAATTATGATCAGAGTCCATTTCAATATTCCTTCCTAACTTGTAGAGTGCAGGATAAAAATGATATATATTCAACTAATGGTCCTGGTACTGCGTGAGAGAGAGGGAGAGAGATTATCGTGCATACCAGGTCATTTCGGCGGGACCAAGACACGGTTCAATTTTGTTCAATAATTCGCTTGCGCGTAGGGGTCATTAGTAGTGGGAGGAAACCAGAGCACCCAGAGAAAACCCACAAGGTTGGAAGGCGACCCTACTTCTTGTCACGTACAACCGGGGAATCAAAACCATGCCAGTTGACTCAATGGCAGACCTTATGATACAGCACGCACATGCTAACTATTTGGACATCCCCCCCCCCCCCCTGCCCCAACTCACCTGGTATTGTACTTTAGTGAATGAGTTAAACATTTGTCAGAACAGTATGGATGATTTTATTTTTAACATTTCTCAAAAAAATAGGGATTGTTATGTTTTTAACATTTGTCAGAACAATATGGATGTTTTATTTTTATTTTTTTTCTGGAAAAATAGGGATGTCAGAACACTATGGATTTTTTATTTTTCAACCTGCCATAACTCTACAATTCTATACGACAGCTAGTTTAAATTTCAGAATATGTTCATTGACAGGTGACAGTAGTTTTGTTCTGTTTGGTAAAAGAAAGACAGAAAAGACATCATTTCATGACAACTTTAAGGTTCTACTTTATTCTCCTTATGATATTGTACAGACATATTTTTAATTTTGTGCATTTTTGCTAAGCAAATTAGACAATGAATTGCTTGAATGTGCAGAAAGTAGAATATACAGTGCCATCATACATCACAAAATTAAGAGATTTTAAGTGTGATAAAAGCCACATGAAAGGTGTAAGACAAATAAAAACATTCAATTGTGAATTTGCAATGAACAGTAAAATAAGTTACAGATACTCTCAAAAATATTTTTATAACAAACTTAGTGCTATGCTTGACCCACACAAGGTATATGTAGCCTAACATGATTTTGAACATTTCAAGACGAATGTTAGCTAAATAAAATAAGCTTAAGTATGGATTTTAAAAAATTTAGATCTGAAGATATTAGTTACACATGTGCCTATGTAGAATGCCGGTTTCATTACGGCTAAGAAAGTATAGCGTATAATAGTACACAAATGTAACAAAAGATCATAGCTATTAAACTTCATATAAGGTACAGAAATGAAAATGAAACATAGCAGTATTAAGCATCACCAACCCTATTCAGCTAACATACTTTTAAAATTCTATAGGCTACTTATTTGGACATTGACCAAACAATTGACCGGTTGCTTTTGGCTGCCCAAAAACCAAGGCAAATGTGTTTCATGAATGATCGATACCAGACCAAGCCCTCAAAAGGGCAATATGAAACAGTTTTCAAAGGACTTTAACTCTGAATATTGTGATTTAAATGTGATGAAAGTCAATAATTCACAATAACAACCCATTAAATCGCCCTGCTGACTGTGCTCATCAAAATCAAAAGAGACCAATGGGTTTTGCATTGAATATAAAAGACTAAATAGTTTTGGGAAATACATAAAAAAAAATGTAGAACATAATTATTATATATATCTGCCTGCATTATAACTGTTCAAATTTGCCATTACATATGTGTATACCTAATGGGAACTGTCACACACATGTATTAGATGTAAGGTAGCACTAAAAGCATAATAATAATATAATAAATTGTAACATATCAGTTGTAACATAATGTTCGTGTGAGTGTGATGCAAGCTGTTAGTAGAATACATTTTGTAATCTGAGTAAATGGATAATTATTTGTTAACAGTGTGCTAAACTAAATAGAAGAAATATTTCAGATAGATGTATATAATTCTTAATGGCTGAAGCTTGCTAGGGTTTGCAGATAATATTGTCTGTATTTATTTAATAAAATTTTTTAGGGTAATTTACTGATATTAGGTAGTCGTATGATAGCTGACCTAAGTTTTCAAATTCTGAAATTGTTCTTCAAAACTGGAAAAAGAAAGCAAGAAAAACAAACTATTTTAAAGCAGAAAAGCTAATATGTTTTGCCTTTTTAAAAACATTTATGTATACATATTAGTATACATAAAAGTATTATAGGTACATAAACATCTTTTTCAAAATTACTTGCATTCAATAAGATTTAATTTGTGAGTTATTTGAACATAAATATTTTAATAATCTGTAGTAACTATTTACCAAAACCTGCTGATTCTTATAATAATGAATTCAGCTACATGTATCAAATCTTATGTCACATGTGTATAAATGATAATTATTAGAACATAATCAATTATTTAAAGAATTGTACACTAGAATTTCACTGTAGGACTGGAGTCAGGGTCCAGTAATTACAATTACTGGATGCTGATTCTAGTATTTGAATAATCTATGTCATTATTCAAATTCTATTCCAGTGTTCAATTCAATAAGTATGATAAAATGATAAAAAAAAATGTGGGTTTTTTTTTGCGTTTTTTTTTTTAAGATTCGTAGATACTGTAAATCTTTCAAATCAATATATTCTTTTATTTGTTTATTTTCAAAGTAGTAAATTTTAAAGAATTAAAGTCATTTGCATTTTTTGGAAAATATCAAAATTTTCATGGCTTAATCCACGTTAATTCTATTGTAGTGAGATCTAAGTGTACATGTGAAGTAAGAAATATTTCAAACCAAGCAATGATAAAGCACAATAATCAAGTCAATACAGATGGAAATAAGAGGTTTTTTTCATTAGAAAACAGTTATTTTTAGTTACCTTCCCAACTGTCTCTGAAGATCTACCATATGCTGTTGACACTGGGCATAATAGGTCATCTGGGCTTCTATAAAATCATTCAAACAGCGGAGATGGTGGGCCTAGAAATATATAATTAAATTATATCTGTTAAATATAATTCACTTTAATCTATGCAAAATATGATTCATGTCATTTTAGCTTTAACATCTGACATGGACCTTAAATATGGTTGTGCAGATTTCATTTAATTATACAATAATTACTGGTATAAATAAAGACAGTTTTATTTTAATAGCAAATAATAATTGTCACGTATTTGGATGATAAAGTGTTTGTACAAGATAAAGCTTATATAAAGTTATAGTACAAGTTAAAGACACTTTAAATGACATCTAGAAGTATGGTTAACTATTCACAACAAAACACAAGGTATATGATGGATTTAACTACTTTTCTATTAAAATAGAGAAGTAGCTTTATATATCGATAGATATACCTTGTGTGTGTTTTATACTGAAAAATTAAAGATGATATAAAGTGAATGAATGAATCAACCGAGCTAATGAAGATGGTCATATAATAGTGCAAGTTAAAGATGATAAAGGGATAGTACAAGCTCAGTAATTTGTTGTATATTTTGGTCAATGTTTAGGTTTTTTAACTTACATGTGTACTGTTAATTCCTTCTAACAGTATTTTGGTTATTTCAGCTTGTCTGTCAAATTCTGTCTGGGCAGCACGAAGATCAGCTTCAGCCTGAAAAATATCATATAACATGCACCATAATTTAAAACAGCCTAATGAAGATGGTTCAAAATAGTAAACAAATAATGGTTAAAGCATTTTAAATTTTATTCACGATTTTACAATTAAGTTTTTTGTTGCAGGAGGATGTATGGTACTACATCAAGCTGAAATCAAACCTTTCTATTGAAATGAAACGAAACGAAATGAAATGGGGTATAAAATCCTAATTTTCTGCACCAACCCGAGATAATGAAGATATGTAGGCTATACGCCATGCAGTGTGCTATGATGAGGGAAATTTTGCGCCAACACCAGCACTATGGCTTACTCTTTTAATTCAATTTCAAAACTAGCGGGGCCTCCTGTCAATGGGATACATGGGACCTCAGCTTTTGAGATCATCTAAATGATTAGATGCTTTTCCTTAACAGGTCCTGCATCCTGCACCACTGACAAGTGAAAACCAGACTGAAAAATCCCAAGGAACTTTCTCGGTTAGATAGTCAGCATCATACCCCCTGAGCCACTGTGGTTCCACTTATCATATATGATTTGATTATTGTTGTAAAGCCATAATAATCATCCTGTCCCGTTGCTTCAAATGATAAATGTAAAGCAAAAATAATAACTAGCTCATATAATGCCTGTAGCTACAAGCTGAATACTCGCACAAAGTTTCTAAAATAATTATGAGTGAAAAATACATAGGTAAAAGTACAATTTAGCAGAACATCCAAAAGTAATCAACTCAAATGATAGGAAAAATAATAATTGTGCTGAAGCATAGAATAATCTACATGTAATATAACATAAAACCCCTTTATAAAATATAACCACTACAATAGTATTTAATTTTCTAATAATGTTACTATTGATTAACTCTTCTCTAGAAGTAGAACTAAAAGCATGTGTCCAATGTGATAGTCTTTATACATAACTTCTAACACTGCTGAACACATGAATTTGCGATTTTGATATCTAAATGACCTCTTAATGCACACAGCTCAAGATCCAACCAGTCACAATGGTTGCACATGACTCAGATGCAGCCAGTCAGAATTGGTGAACATGGCTCAGATGCAGACAGTCACATGATTCATATGCAGCCAGTCAGAATAGGTACCCATAGCTCATTGCAGCCAGTCAGAATAGGTGCACATAGCTAAGATGTGCTGCACATGGCTTAGATGTAGCTAATCACAATGGGTACACATTTTGCTAGATAGGAGAAAGACGTTGAGATTGATGGGGACAATTATGTATCACAAAAAATTCATGCATACAGGCTATCTCAATTGTTGACAGTCACTTAATTTTAAACATTTTACGCCATAAACTGTGAAATGCTGCTAATAGAAGCTATCAATTAAACCTATCATATGGGACACACATTTAGCTCCACCTCTTCTCAGCACCAACCAACCGAAAGAGGTTGTAGATCTAATTGACAATTATAATGTCAATACTAACCTTTGCTACAGCATCATCCTAGTAGCATGAAAGGAAAGTGAAAAAAAATAATTATAATTTAATCAGCATAAGAAGAAGATTCTTAATAGGTTTTGGTAAAACTAGAATTTGTAAAATGTAGAGTAAATAATATACATAAAGAGTGTGCAGCATGCCAGACTACATTTACCATTCTTAATTATTTGTATACCAATATTCCTTTTAGTAAATAAGTTTAAATTTGAGATTTACTAACTAATTTTACTGCAATGTTTAATTCCAAATTAAGATTAAGAATCAGTCAGATCTTGGTCTGCATCCTGAATGTTTTAATAAAATGATTATAGGTAACTTGTACTGTTCTGTTTGGATATTATAAAAATATTCCTTATTATTGATTTGTATACAATAACATCTTAAATAACTCTTGCAAATCATGCACATTACTTGCAATAACCAAGAAATTTATCTTAGAACAATAAAATCTGATGCCATTAAGAAGGAAATCTAACAAATTGTGAACAAATAAATAAATGATGCTAAAAATTGGAAAATAAAAACAAGACATGACGCAAAACTAAATCTGAAATAAAATAATTATTTGCCTAGGGTAATAAAGAAGAATATTCTGGTTCTCATCGTGTGGCTAAATGATTTATCACAAATATCACAATTCCAGGTTGAACATTTATTTAATCATCGTTTACTCATTGTTGAGTTACATATCGTAACCTATTTTTACAGTACATTACGTTACGCTGAATTCAAGTTTATTTACATGCAGTAACTAGATGTCTTGGTCTATGGACGCAAGCTCAGGTCATCTGGTTCTTTCATTACCAGATTATTTTTTTATGGTTTTACATTAAACGAACGATGTGCATGCAGCACATGCAATCTCAGGCCACTGTTCTGATTCTCTCTGAATCAAGATTGTGTATATATAGATGTTAATTTAACTCAAATACACCAGAAAAGGTTCCATCACTGTGAAGGAGCATCACTTTATTCTGTTCACTCATGTTATATAGCATCATATGCATATTTTAATACACAATTTTTTCCAAACAATGTCTTCAAATCATGCATTCTACTTTAGCACCTGCTACACATCTCTAGAGAAAACATCTATGAAGTCTTCTTAAGCAAGAAGCCCTCTAGGTCTCTGGAACAACTCTACAATCGAAAAATGACTTCTACTTTCACTGGCTTGTCTAAAATCATTGTAGTCAAAGAATGCAATTAGATGATTATGAACAAACATATTTGAATTTGTTTATCGTGTAATACAAATAACGTCACCACTGTAGGCTTAGGCTTACTCGTAATTTACAATCATGACATGGAAATTTACTAGAATGAATGGGTAAAAATTAGTATCATTCAACCTGCTTCAATTTTTATAACAAAGTTTGCCTAAGGTTATTTTGAATATAATAATATGAAATTAACACAGATGTTCTACACTTCCTTAATCAAGGGACAATAAACCAGATAGTCAACAAGTATGTTTTTAAAAATATGTAAGTTTACTACATATATTTTACTTAGCAGATCGTTATAACAAAATCTAATCTGACTTATAATGGAAAATATTTCAGAATTACTCTTTTTTTTACTTTTAATGAACTAGACAAACAAAGGAAGGGAATGAAATAATTTTTGAACTAATAAGCTCTTAGTTAGTATACTGTGATTAAGTATGGTCTTTATTCTATATTTGACCTTCATTCTGGTAAGTTTACCTTTTAAACATGACACAATACGGACAGAACAAAACAGGATAACATTACAAATAAAGATACAACCTATATGTATTGATCAGTGTGAAATCTATACTTGTACTTTGTGATTACAACCTACAGACTGAATCAATGACTAAAGTTGTGTACAATAACATGCAACTCAACAACATGAAATATATATCATATATCTACCTTACACTATAGATTAATCAATAGCTTTTAATCAAAATACTTAAGTCACTAGAGTATACACGTACAATGTTAATTTTCTTATTGAGCTGTGCCAGGAATTCTGGTCCAATAGTCTAAACTTGTCTATACACACTTTGCTATTTGGGTCTATTGAGTATTGTACATGTTTACACCATTTGATGTTCATCATCAGTATGTTCATTGCATGTATTAAATTAATTGGGTTCATTCAAGTTATTTCACAAGGATGTCACTTAACACCAACAATCATTAAATGATTTATTACATACATAAATAAATTTCTAATGAATCAACAAAAGGACAGGTATAGATATTTTAATCTCTTCACCTAGAAATCATTTTAACATGGTCTGCTTAATAATTGTAGACTTTTAAATATGGAAGGACATATCTAAACGTTTTGTAAGGTAGATACATGTATATAATATGTATTGGCTACACAAGTTTGTATATAAAACACTCCATTTTCTTAACTGATTTCCAAGAAAGAACAACATAACCAATAACAATGCTATTATTTTAACAAGATCTGCAGCTATTACCAATTTAAACAGATATGTAACATTTGTTATCATTGTAACTAAATCTGTAGCATCTGTCACCACTTTAACAAAATCTGTAGCATTTGTCATCATTTTAACAAAGCTGTGGCATTTGTCATCATTTTAACAAAATCTGTAGTATTTGTTATCATTTTAATAAGATCTCTTATTTAGCAATTCACCACAATTTGTAGATTTTTTTATAATTTAAAAAAGATCTATAAAGCAATTGTTGTAAATTTAAACAAGATCTGTGTAGCATTTGTTGTAAATTTAACAAACTATGTAGTTACTAGTATGTGTTATCAATTAAATAAGATTGGTAGTATTTGTTATCATTTTAACAAAATTTGTACAATTCATTATTACTTTATGATAATCATTTTAACAAAATCTGTTGCCTTCTCTATCATTTTAACAACATCAGTAGTGTTTGTTGCCAGATCTGTTACCACTTAAACAAGGTCCATAGGATGTTAACAAGATCTGTAACATTTTCTTTAAAATCCTCCTAACAAGATTTGTAGCCAATACAGTATAACATGACAACAACAAGCAGTAATGAAGGGACTGACCTCCATATAATATAGATCATGAGGTATATCAGTCTGAATAGCCGCAGATAAAAAACAAACAAAACATAAATAAAATATATGAAAATATCCAAACACCAGTTATAAAGGGTAAGAATAAAAATATACATGGTATAGCTTTTCATATAGAAAATGAAAATGACCCAATTAGAAAACACCATTGACATCAAAAGAGATACATTAGTTCAAAGTTCAAAAGAGTTTGTTGAATAATGTAAGAATTTCTTACACAAAGAAAGAAATATAAATATGTATAATTGAAGATTAATTCAGACACATTAGTTTATATTTCTACCTGTACAAGTATTAAGTCTGCTTAAAGATACAATCCCACAAAAGTATTTACTGGGTAGTTATTTCAATAAGAGTGTGTCAATTTTCGTATATATGAAAGTATAGACACTCAATATTACTAGAAAAATACTGGATTCCCTGAAAAACACCTGTAGACGAAGGTGTGAGGGTAGCCCTAAAAGGCAACCTGTATCCTTGAGTGACGCAAGGAACACTTTTTATGTGTTGATCTAATGGCTAACCGTTATGAGAACATTGAGAGAATTAAACGTTCAGTAATGAAGTTGGAAGAGGATAATCTAGGAATTTATTTAGGCTTTAAAAATGGACAAATACAAGCTGGGAAATAGATTCTCGTGGGATGACCTGAATAATATGAGTTTGAGAAAGATTTGAAGCAAACTTTTGATAGTTAAATTAGTTTTAATTTGTTTTAATTTGTTTTTAGTCCAAATATATCATCAAATCACACAGTTTGTACGCGAGAAGATATCTTTAATAAGATCAGCTTAAACCCATCCCATATGATTCTACAAGAAATACCATCACTAAGGAATGTTTAATACAAATTAGTCAGTTTAGGAATATTTCTTCATTCAAGCCACTGCTAAGGGGTTCAAAATTAAACATAAACAATGTTTTAAACTAGAGGTGTCACTGTTGTAAACTTACATTCCATTTCAAACCTGGCTGGTGACCCTTAATAAAGTACAAAGTACAGTAGCATAGTTCTTATATTAATCAAGTCGTCTTCAATAATCTTTCATATAGTTAAGAATGCTTCATTGTCTACAGTTCTAACCCTAATAATATAGGTAATAAAAGTAGAAATCATGCAGAATCTTGCATTGATACGCACTTTTGTTTATACCGAAGAAGGTAGCAGAAGGTGGGGGTGACAGAAAAAAAACAAAGCAGCCATTTTTTACTGCAACTTAAGAATAATGTTCTTATAATCTAAAATTAAAAAGTCTGAACTGACACCATGAAATTTTAATGCATAAAATCAATGATGGTCACCTCTTCAGGAGAACGTTTGCTTTCTTCACCCTACATGGAATTAATTACATAGTTATTAAAACTACTTTTAACTTTATAAATTACCCATGTAAATAGATTTTATGAATAGGGTACATTATTTTTTAAAATGAGCCTTCTAACATTTGTTTTATGAAAAAAAAATACAACATTCTCTACAAATAATAAATAAGGATCATACATATTATTTTGTTAGTAATAAAACTTTCTTTGGTTTACAAACTAACAAGTAAAAAAGTTAATATATAAAACTGAGCTGAAACATACAATGTATTAGGCAATTATAAAAAAAGACTTCTTGAAGACTAACTGAAGGGAGAAATATTTAATCAAGCATACAATTCATAATATTTTCATGATAGCTCTCATATTGTAAATACTGGTAATATAATCTAGGATAATAAGTACTCTAAAGAATAATTGACAGCATTATAAACTTTGAAATTATAATTTTTTTTATTTTATTTTTTTTTGGGGGGTTAAAACTGTTAAGCAATTCTGTCAAAGTACAAACCTGTTGCTGAGCATTTGGTGATTTAGCTTTTCTTAGTCGACTTTTAGCAGCATCTAGATCTAACCTTTTGACCTCCAATAATCTCTTCTCTTTCTGTAATGTAATAATATGTAATAGTTAATAGTACCAAAAACATTATGTACAATCAAGAATTCTTGAAAGACTGAACATTCTTGAGATGGAGACCTACGATTTGTTACACACATGTAGATACATGTATTTATATGGAGACTTTAAAAAGAGAGACCTTCAAAATTTGCCTCTGCCGCCCCTTTATAATTTTATTACCACTTTAGTTTAACACTTTCACTGCTGAGCTTAGACATACATGCTGGGTTATGTCCCTTTGTGGCCATTCTATTTAATGTGTATGTTTCTTTAATGTTATGATCAATGATGCTCTTGAATTCGTCTATCACTGGTATTATTTACATTTCTCATAAATTAGTGTAAATATCCCAAGCTCTGTCATATTCCATAACGGAATGACTGTCCAAGCTACATTTACTAAATTTATCAGGTTCTGAGCCTATCAGCACATCAATCATTTCATTGAAAACATTGTCTCTTGACCAGGGAATATTTCTCCTCACAGAAGCTGCTATTTAGGTATATAATCTAAAGAATATTACCTCTAGTAGATATTAAACTTAGATAATATGACGTCATAGTGTCACAGTAACGCAGTAGTACAAAGAAGCGACATAGCTTGAATATCAAATCAGACAATAATAACTAGGCCTATATTCAATTTTGCATCTATAAAGCTGGCTGATATGTCCACAAAGTGGGATCATCCTATATTGTGGATTGAGTATATGTTGCCGATGGAGGTTCATCCTTGTTTTTAGCATACTTATAGTTTTTCCAATGTACTGTCTATTAGTATTACAGCCATATATGTATAAATATGTATTAATTAACAAGTTACCATTATTGTTTTCATATCTCCTTCCAGGAAGTTCCTTAGTGGCTGTAAGAAGTTATTTACAGACTGTGTTACAAATTCTCTTTCTGCAGTTCCTATCTTTATTTCTGCTTGACCACATTTTATCAGAGCGTTACCTGAAAATATATATATAATATTTTTTTAATTAATGTATCAATTATTTGGGGTACTCAAGGAACTTTTAATATGCATCCAAAGTAAATGACGTTACAGTCTACTCTTATTTTGATTTCCAACTGTAAAGATATCTTAGAATGAACCTAGGATCTCCTTGTTAATTAACCAGTGCCATGCGCACACCACTGTTTATGTACGACGTCATAATGGGAACATACAAGGTCTAAATGGCCATGACTGATAATTGCTAGAAAGATAGGTAGCCGGACAACGAAACATACACCCACAGCAGCTAAGTTGTCCGTTCAGTCAACAAGTGTTATCACATATTTTTTCTTTTGTCAGTAATGAGAACATTTACAACACATGAAAATCTGATTACCAGTAATAACCCATGATGTAATTATCAGAAAACATTAGAATTTGTTTCGATTGATTGTCTCATGACCTTAAACAATTTATATTAACTTTAGCCTCTAGAGCGCCACAAGACTTTTCAGAGTGATAATTAACCATAACTCTGGCAGTAATTATCGGAAATCGTTGAAATGAATAGGATTTATTGTCTCATGACGTTAAACACTGTGTATAAGTTTAAAGTCAATCAGATATCACAGCAATAAAATCTTTGGCTTTGGGCAACAAATGTTTTCAGTTTTTAACATGAACACACAATTTTCACCCAAAGACATTTAGTATTTGTGTTAGGTTGACCCTTATGCATTAATCTCAGAGCCGATCTTCTATGAAACTAATGCATGTTAAGCTTTAGGATCCCTAATCCAGCAGGATCCCCAATGTGACTCAATGTCAAATCAATTAAAATGTTTAACTGTACTGGCACAACCTTTACTACATAGAATAGAGTTGTTCATGGACCAACAGTTACTGTACTGGGTGTCCTGGTAATACATGTATGCCCGGGAGAATTGGACGTATTGGAGGGTTTTTGTATTAGTTTTGGTTTTCTTCCATACGTACATGTATGTTAAGAAAATATCAAACAGTTCAATAAACCAGCGGCTGCCAGGCAGGATACACCCACATTTTACAAGAGATGGATAGAGAACAGCTAAAAACAAACATGATTTTTTGTACAATCAGGGGCAGTAATCCAGAAAGTTATGGTCTGAAATGCGCAAATATCAAAAGGGACTGAGATCTTTAGAATGACATGTTTTAAGTTTCATCAAAATTGGCTAAAAATTGTGACCTCTAGAGGGCCCACAACCTTAGTATTACATACTTTTACACAATTTGAGTACAAAAAGCGGCCATTTTGTTGAGCAGTTTCATTTCAATTTTCCCGAAATTCGAATTCAACCTTCATTACGTTGTAATGGTGATATATTTAAACAGTTTTTAAAATCGGAAAAAAAATTGTGACCTCTAGACAATGTGCAAGCTAAAAATGCGATTTTTTGAAAAATCAGGGGCCATAATCCAGGAAGTTACGTTTGGATATGCGAGATTATCAAAAGGAACCAAGATCTTAGTGTGTAATGGTGATATATATTCAAATGTTTTTTTTTTATATCGGATAAAAATTGTGACCTCTAAAGGGACCACAAGCTAAAAACGTGATTTTTTGTACAATCAAGGGCCATAATTCAGAAAGTTACAATCCGATATGTGCGAAAGGAACCATGATCTGTGGGTCATAAACATGTATTTCAAGTTTCATCAAAATCGGATCAAAACTGTGACCTTTAGAGGGTCCACAACCTTGATATACCATTCAGGAAATTACGGTCCAATATGCATAAATATCGATAGGAACCAAGATCTTTGGGTTATAAACATGCATTTCTAGTTTCAACATCTGATGATAATTATCACCTCTATAGGGTCCACAAGCTAAAAACGCGATTTTTCATAAAATCAGGGACCATAATCCATGAAGTTACGGTTCGATACACGCCAATATCGAAAGGAACCGAGATCTGTGGGAGATAAACCTATATTTGAAGTTTTGTTGAAATCGGATAAAAATTGTGACCTGTAGAGTGTCCACAAACAGGGGCAACGACAATATACGTCCACATGAAAATGTGGGTGTATAAAAAGTAAATTTGTGAAGGGGCCCCAATAAGATATTGAGCTTCAGGACCCCAAATATACTATTCAAAAAAAGTAGGGGATATTTGATTTTTAAGTGTTATTCAAGTCACCTAATGAAACTGACGAAGAAACAAATGACAAAATGAAATGAAGTTCACATTCATCGATTTATTCCAAATGATCGTTAGACTAAGTAAGGCACAGACTGACCATTATAAGGGTAAAATGATACCCGGGGTCAAACAGCAAAGTTACCACAGCATCACAACCAAGTCAGTAACGGGTAAATCCTCCTCTGTTTGCCAAACAAGCATTGATCCGACGTGGCATACTCCTAATGAGACGTCTAAGGTCATTTTGGTCCAGATTGTCCCATTCCTGTTGCAACGCAGCAGCAAGTTCTTGGGCATTGGCAGAACGTTGTTGACGTTGACGTAACCTCTGTCCAAGCATGTCCCAGACATGCTCGATGGGGGAGAGGTTGGGACTCAGTGCTGGCCAAGGTAATGTGGTGATGTTCTGTTGTTGGAGGTAACCTGTAACGATCCTGGCCCTGTGACATCTTGCGTTGCCATCCTGGAAGATGAAACGGCGGCCATGACGTCGTGCGAACGGCACAACATGGACTGCCAAGATGTTGTCCCGGTAGTACTGGCCTGTAACACGCCCTGCAACAACATGTAAAGCCGTTCTTCCAGCAACAGTTATGCCTCCCCACACCATAACAGAACCACCCCCAAATCGATCATGTCTGATGACGTTAACGTCTTGGAAGCGCTCGTTTTGACGACGCCACCCCCTCCTACGTCTGTCCAAAAAATCAACAGTGAACCTTGACTCATCTAAAAACATCACATTGCTCCAGCGTCGATTATCCCAGTGTTGACGATCCCTACACCAACGACGTCTTGCCTGAATGTGATGATCTCTCAAACAAGGGATCACGCGAGGACGTCGGGCGCGAAGGTGACCCCTATGCAGTCGATTCCGAATCGTCTGGCCACTCACTCTCACACCAGTGTCTGTTTGAAGACGAGCGCTGATCTGATTTGCTGTGATGACACGATTTCTCAAGGCCAAGGTACGGATAAATCGATCCTGGGCTTGAGTTGTCGCCCTTGGTCGACCTGAGCGTGGTCTGTCCTGTACAGATTGTGTATCACGGTATCTGGACCATAGCCTGCTTATAACAGACTGAGAAACATTCATCGTCCGCGTCACAACCGCCTGTGTTGTGCCGATCTGTAGCATGCCAAGGGCACGTAACCTTTCATTTTGGGTAAGCCGACACATATCAAAAATTGTTTTCTGGTCACTAAAACAATTAAACTGATGTTTCCACCCTGGAATTCAATGCCACAATGACTGTAACATTCAAAGTCAGAGTCGTGCAAATCTTGGGTTGGACCCCCATGATGATCCCAAGCATCACCTGCATTCCATGCGGTAGCTATTGGTGCGTTTGGGCGTCACATGTAACTGGAAATGTTTCTTCTATTAGGTTCTATAGGGACTTTTTTCGTAGTCATTTGCATATTTTAGTATTATGCCCCCAAAATCAAATATCCCCTACTTTTTTTGAATAGTATATGTAGGTCCGCTAGTGGTTTGGCATTTGCTCAAAGTTATTTTTACTCTTTTTCACATATGGTTGCATATATATATGATTTGCTGCAATCATCTGACTAATTCCTAATCACAAGTGTCTTTACTAACGAGAGAGAGAGAGAGAGAGAGAAATGGGGTTAACGTCTACTCGACACAAACTAGATCATTTAGGGACTACCATACGGTTCAATTTTATTTCAATAATTTGCTTGAGTGTAGGGGTCTTCAGAAGTGGGAGGAAATCGGAAGATCCGGAGAAAACTCACGTTGTCCTGTACAGCCGGGGAATCAACACCACGCCAGTTGACTCTGGCCATCCCCCCCCCCCCCCCCGGCCATCCTTTTACTAACAACAATTTGCAGAAAGTGTACTGATATACAATGAATTAATGTCATACTTTCTTGGACAGGCATCTAAGATTTACTTCATGTATAACAACCATTATTTTATATCTTCCAAAAGTTAAATGCCGTGAGGGACTCTAGATGTATAGATAATCGATAATATGACCATAAGAAAACTTTCCAAATATGTAATACCAATAATTATCATGACTCAGGATTATCCAGCTGTTCCAACAAGAACACTGCACTGAATAACATTTCTTCACATTGAATTACCAGTCTATACACAAAAAACTAGCTGATCAAGGCTACTTGAATCCAATAGATGGACACAGAAACAGCATCTGGATAATCAGTAGTAAAGTATCAATCGTGTAAACTGGTTGTTTACACTACACAAAGGGGAGATAATCAATAAATTGATTTCTATCAACTGGTAACCAGCTGGTTACAAGAGGCTATTGACTTGAAGATAAATTATACCAGACCTACATAAATACCTATAGACCCTAATCACTTGTCACCATGTTCATAAACTGTAACTCCTAACGAACACCAAATACACAAAATCTACTAAAGGGCAGTCAATCCCCATGTTTTGTTTGGTGATTGCAGATACATAAATAAATATAATTTACTTCTACATTTAACTTTATAAAATTGTACATGTATATCAAAGTTTTATAATATTTAAAATATAACAATACTATAATCTACCATATTCAGTGTAGCAATGGCTAATGAGCTGATTTTATTATTCAGGAAAATGACTTATTAATTGAATAATAAAGTTAGATTATATTACGATCTTCTACAAATTGTGACTTCCAATCTTACTATTTTCCTCAGAAAACAATAAGCTGACATGTACATGTGACCAGTCTGTTGAAGATATGTTGCCCTCGAAGTGTCTAGGTGACTTCTGAAATAAATACTATCTGGTCATTATTTCTGAGGCAAGCATAATATGAAATACTTATCTACC